GAACCTCCAAAAACAACCTGTGCAGGTATATATATACAAATGCAACAGTAATAACAACAGAGAATATCGACTAAAAAGGGGAAGGGGGCATGCTCGGGGAAAATACAGCGAATACAGATCAACGGATATAACGACGAAACTATCTCAATACCATAGCTCATATATAAGTGGTCGGCGCGCCACACGATCCCATTTCTTAATTCATAAGTGGACGGCGTGCCACACGATCCCATTTCATAATATATAAGTGGTCGGCGTGCCACACGATCCCATTTCATAATATATAAGTGGACGGCGTGCCACACGATCCCATATTATAGTATATAAGTGGACGGCGTGCCACACGATCCCATATTATAGTTCAAAATATCTGACTTTGTAAAGAAGGCCCCGTTAGGGGAATTCGACAACATAACACTTTAACCCGGCAAGGGTACAACTAACAGCCCAAATATCCCGGCAAGGGAGAGTACATAATAATAGCCTACACGTCCCGGCAAGGGAATAATCACAACACCTCCTCTTTTAACTCACTTCTTTCTCAATTATCACATTCTTGTTCGAGCCAACGCTCCAAAATATACCAACCACGATTCTTCCTCAACCGCTCACATTATATGAAGTTTATCAATTAAACAAGGAAGTTATGTCACATCATTCGAGTTAAAAGCAATTAAGACCCACGGTCATGTTAGACTCCGGTGCATAGACAACCGTCACCATGCCTATACACCATACTCCACATTTAGCAAGTAGCAAATAACATCATAATCCTATTCCCTCAAGCCAAAGTTAGAACAAACACTTACCTCGGTCCAAAGAATAGCAATCAACCCTCAAATACCGCCTTTCCTCTACAATCCGACTCCGAAACAATGGTATCTAGTCATAATTAGTTCAATAATATCAATAAGGGCTCAAAAACATAATCTCATAGCCTAGAAATGAAATTCCCATCATTCTTCCAAAAACACCAAAATTCGACACCGGTCCCACATGGTCCAAACACGAGGCTCGGACCAAAACCCAATCACCCATAACCCCACGAGTTCAAATATACAATTTATTTCAAGATTCGACCCCAAATTGAGGTTGAATCACCCAAAATTCCCAAAACCCTAGCTCTACCCAAACCCTTAATTTCTACTTTGATTTCATAATTTAGGTCTAGGAATTCAGTAATTAATGAAGAAGAGTGAAGGAATTAGGTGGGAAATTACTTACCCAAAGACTTTGGTGAAGAAGAGATTCAAAAATCGCCCCTAGAGCTTGGAGAAGACAAGTTTTATGAAGAAATGGGAAAAATCCCGTAATGGGTCTGTTTTGAGCTTTTAAAATTAACTGGGCAAAAATGCCCTTCGCGTTCGCGGGAAAGGAGCCGTGTTCGCGAAGGGTTAATTCAACAGACCATCGCGTTCGCGATGAGGAGGCTGCGAACGCGAAGAGAAAGACTGGGGGGGGGGGTCCAGGGAAATTAACTACGCGAACGCGTGAATTAGTTCGCGAACGCGAAGAAGGGGACCCGGCCAGCATCGCGATCGCGTAAGGGCGACCGCGAACGCGAAGAACAAACCTAGCCTGCAACAGCTGAAGGAAAACCTGCTATATTTCTAAGTGTAAAATCACCCCGAACCACCTCCAATTCACTCCCGAGCCCTCGGGGCTCCTAACCAATCACATACACTAACTCAATAACATCCTACGAATTTACTCGAGCGATCAAATCGCCAAAATAACATCAAAATCCATGGATAAGCCTCAAAATCATCATTTTCATTTCAAACTTCTTAAACTTCTAACTTTAGATATTTAGGTCCGAAACACGTCAAATGACATCCGATTTCGACCAAACTTTACAGAAAGCGCTTAACACCTATTTAAGACTTGTACCGGGCGTCGGAACCAAAATACGAGCCCGATACCATGGTCTTTTAATCAATTTTCATTTCCATTTTCTTTAAGAATTTCAGAAAAACAATTTCACAGAAAAATTCATTTCTCGGGCTCTCGACCTCGAAATTCGACTCCGGGCATATGCCCGAGTCTCATATTTTTCTACGGACCCTCCGGGACCGCCAAATCACGGGTCCGGGTCCGTTTACCAAAAATGTTGACCAAAGTCAACTTTAGCAATATTAATATCAAAATTCTTTAAATTTTTCACATAGTTCACATATTTCAACATAAAANTAATAAACATTATATGAATCAATTTGAATGCATAAAATGAGTTTCCCAAGTTTTTCCCAAAAATTCCAAAATCGCCCCCGGGCCCACGTGGTCAAAACTCGACGTTCGAACCAAAATCTGGTTACCCATTCCCCCACGAGTTCAAATATATAATTTGTTTTGAAATCGGACCTCAAATCGAGGTCCAACTCCCCAATTTATAGAAAACCTAGGTTCTACCCAAATATCCCAATTTCACCCATGAAAATCTTTGATTTCATGTGGAAAACATGTTTAATGATGTTAAAGATTGAAAGAATTGAGTAAAAATCAACTTACAAGTGATTTGGGATGAAGTTTGCTCTTGAAAATCGCCTATGGTGTTTTGGGTTTGAAAGAATGGTGAAAAGTGATGAAAATTTCGACTAAGTATGAAATTTGCTGGGCCGCGGGTATAGGAAATGCGAAGCTGGGTTCGCAATTGCGAACCCAGCAGGTCTGGGAATTGCAAGATTTTAGTTCGCATTTGCGAACACTGGGCCTCAATGCAGACTTCGCATTTGCGAAGTAATGATCGCATTTGCGATCTGGGCCCCCTTCGCATTTGCGAAAGATTGATCGCATTTGCGACAGTGCCCCATTTTCCCAGACTTCGCAATTGCGAAGCAGTGCTCGCATTTGCGAGCTCGCAATTGTGAATCTTCCTTCGCATTTGCGAAAATTGCAGCCAGCATACCAGATTTTTAAAACATGAGAAATGCAATCCGATGCCTATCCAAAACTCACCCGAGCCCTCGGGGCTCCAAACCAAACATGCACACGACCTCAAGAACATCCTACGGACTTACTCGCGTGATCAAATCGCCAAAATAACATCATTTACATAGAATCAAGCCGCAAGGCACATGATTTTTCATTATAACTTCATAAACTTCAAACTTTAGATATTTAGGTCCGAAACACGTCAAATGACGTCCGATTTCGACCAAACTTCACAGAAAGTGCTTAACACATATTTAAGACTTGTACCGGGCGTCGGAACCAAAATACGAGCCCGATACCATGGTCTTTTAATCAATTTTCATTTCCATTTTCTTTAAGAATTTCAGAAAAACAATTTCACAGAAAAATTCATTTCTCGGGCTCTCGACCACGAAATTCGACTCCGGGCATCTGCCCGAGTCCCATATTTTTCTACGGACCCTCCGGGACCGCCAAATCACGGGTCCGGGTCCGTTTATCAAAAATGTTGACCAAAGTCAACTTTAGCAATATTAATATCAAAATTCTCCAAATTTTTCACAAAGTTCACATATTTCAACATAAAAGCTTTCCGGCTTCACGATCGGACTGCGCACGCAAATCAAGGCAACTAAAAGCTAGGTTTTCAGGGCCTCGGAAGCATAGAAAAGAGAGAAATCCGGTGATGACCCTTTGGGTCGTCATATTCTCCACCTCTAAAATAACCATTCGTCGTCGAACGGACAAAAGAAAGAAGTACCTGAGTCGGGGAACAGATGTGGATAACGGCTCCGCATATCGGACTCGGACTCCCATGTCGAGGCCTCAGGGGGCTGACCTCTCCACTGAACACGAACAGAGGGAAAACTCCTAGATCTCAACTGACGGACCTGCCGGTCTAGAATAGCTACCGGCTCCTCCTCATACGATAAATACTTGTCCAACTGGACTGAGCTGAAATCTAACACATGGGTAGGATCGC